AATCTAAACACTAAATCTGTGTTTATTTTCTCTTTAACCAACCGTGAGCATCAGTATTATGGGATGTATCACAGTCACAGAAACAACCGTTGGTACCCTGGATGTGTTTCTGTTTTCTGATCATTCACCAGAGAAAACTTTTTAAACTTTTGAAGCATTCTGGGTAAACTGTCCAGGCTCACACCAGCTGGTTCTGTGGATCTGAAGGCTTCAGGAAGTAAAGAGTTTGTTCCACTCACCACTCCTTCCTCGGCGGGAGCGTTGTCTCCAACAACCAGCATCACAGGACACCTGCAGGAATCAGCAGCATGGAGGTGAACATTTCAACTTTACTGTCACTCAGAGAATCATCTGTGAAATCATCTGCTGAAGTTTACGGCTAAAAGTTCTAAGAGACCAAACACTTATTTGTAGCTTGTGCTGAAGAATGAATGTTTTACTCACATCTTAGACGGTTTGGACACTTTGTAGGACAATTATTGGTCATTTAGGACAAATTTTAAGCCACTTTGGACGAGTTTTAAATAATTCTGGACACTTTTTTGTCATTAAAGTCAACATGATGATATTTGAAGCTTTACTCTAAGTGTTGACATGAATCCTGAACAGTTCTATTTATGTTATCAAACTGTTTGTGAAGTTGCAGGAACGTTTACACTCAAATAAAAGCAGTTTTCTGTATCATCGGGTCATTCTGTGTCGACTCAAAGGTCGTTTCTTGACCACCTTAAATCTGTTGAGACTCTGTAGGAACGATCTTCAGCATCTGAAACTGACATCTGACCATTTTTTTATCTGAAATTCCAATAATTTGATCATTTTTTACTCAGTGGAAATTTCCAATAAATCTCAGTCGGAAATCAAGTGAGATGCCACTTTCAGACGTCCACGTCTCCTGAAGTATACGTCCTGGAGTCTCCACATGTTCAGGAGATGTTCAGGAGTTTCTGGTGAACGGAGAGAACGCAGCAAGTTCTGGAAATCAAGACTCAGTTCTTTGCTTCAGGGCTTCCAAAATCAGGATTTGTTCAAAAATCCCAAATCAAGTGGATTGAAAAAAATTGGAAGCGATTGATTTCCAGAACTTGCTGCGTTCTCTCCGTTCACCAGAAACTCCTGAACATCTCCTGAACATGTGGAGACTCCAGAACGTATACTTCAGGAGATGTGGACGTCTGAAGGGGGCATCTTGCTCCACTTCCAACGACATTTCCATTGGGTAAAAAAATAATAAAAATGTTGGAATTTCAGCTAGAAAATGGGCCGATGTCAGTTTCAGATGGTGAAGATCGTTCCTACAAAGTTCCACCAGGTTCTGAGGTGGACACCACCTTGGCTGAGTTGACCTGAACGACCCTCCTGTTGGTCTTCAGACTCACTTCAAGGTCTTTGCGTTGAGCACCGTCCCGCTGCGGTTCATCTCCAGATCCCTCCGGCTGCACACACAAAAACACAAGGTGAGGTCCTGGTGGGGGTCCTGGTGGGGGTTCTGGTGGGGGT